TGTCCTTCCTGTTTATTGTTGTGTTGTTGCTGTTTCAGTGTGCTATGTATTTGTCATTGTTGTGTTAATGACGGTCATCTTTGGGTTATTTATCATCAGTGATGTGTTATTGTTGTGGTATAAACATGGTATTTTTATATTAATATTAAGTCCATTTGTGGTTTTGTTGTGTAACATCTAAAGCCATCAGTTCATGGCCTGCTGATTATATTTATTTAAATTAACACAACAGTTGTTTTTCTTCACCCTCACTGTTTATTGAATGAATGCTCTGTTTTTTTTATTGTCCCAAATCAGCACAGGACGATATTTGCTGCTTTTCACCGTCCCATGTATCCTTTATGCAATAAACTATCTGTATTTGGATTATTTAAAAATGGATTAAATACGTTAGTAATATTTACATATAACTTATTATTATTTTATATTTATATGTATGTGTATTGGCATAGATGTGACATAGCTGGATTTGGTAAAGTTGTCTTGATAATGGGATTTAATTCTAATTGTTGTGGTTTTGCTGGGAAATAGTCCCTTTTTCCTCACATCTTGGTTCTTGGGAGGTGCAGTGTTGCAGTAGTTCCTCGGGGGGGCTCTGTTTGGTCATCTGCTGTGTCTGGTTCAGTGTCGGAGCCGGAGTCAGAGGGTGCAGTTCACCCTGCCAACCTCTAGGTGTCACTCATCATCCAGCTGTAAAGCAGCGGGGGAGGGGAGGGTCTTTCAGTTGAACAGAGTCCTCCATGAAGCCACAGCTATTTCCATCAGCTTCCACAGCTTTTTTGTTTCCATCAGCTCACAGCCATGGCTCGGGCTCCTTCACTCATGTTGGTAGAAAGCTCTAAGACTAAAAGCATTCTTTGTATTTCAGGAAGCAGAAACAATACTGAGCTTTAATGTTGGATTTATTCTCTTATCTTTCTTTATAGACAAGATATAGATGTGTCAAATAAACACTGTTTTTTTTAATTCTACAGTGATGGGTGAATTAGATTTAGGTAATCCTCACGTTCCCTTTTCTTTCTAACAACTGACTTAAAGGTTGATGGTTTTTGTTTAAAACAGGTCTCTCTTGTAAATGAGTCCTCGTGACTCACTGAGACTAACTAACCTGTATAAATAAAGACTGAAGAAAAAAAAACGTGAACGGCACAGTGGCTCAGTTGGTAGAGCCTCTCAGCGAGCAGGTCACAGGATCAAATCCCGGCTGGAGGCCTTTCTGGGTGGAATTTGCATGTTCTTTCCGTGCATGCATGGGTTTTCTCCAGGTACTCCGGTTTCCTCCCACAGACCAAAAAACGTGATAGTTTGACTGGTAAGTTTAAATTGTCTCTGGGTGAGAGAGAGAGTGAATGGTTGTTGTCTCGTTTGTCTCTATGTGTCTCGGTGATGGACTGGAGACCTGTCCAGGGTGTCCCCCGCCTCCCACACACTGACTGCTGGATATGGGCACCAGTGACCCCCGGCGACCCAAAAAGAAAGAATCGGGTAAAGATAAAGGATGGCTGGACGGACGGACTTTTAACTGTTTTGTTTTTGGTTAATTTTACTGTCAGTTGATGTTTCATTAAATCCAGCTCAATTTTAAATTAAATAAATCACATGTCTGAAAATGTAACATTTATTTTATTATTTAAAAAAATGAAATTATTAAAATCTATTTTCATGCACCGGTACTGTGGCATTCTCATCTGTCTTAAGTATGGTAGTTTGTTCCTACCAATTAACCAGGAGTTACACAGAGCCTATTTTCTGTCGATGCGACAGCTCAGTCTTTATACACACTCTGTTCATGAACCTGTGATGTGTGAAGCCGTTTGGACGAGTTGGAACGTTGCAGAGAAGCAGCCTTCGTGTTGAAATGCTGATGACGTCTCACTGCAATGAGGTGGTTAAATAGTGATTTTTTGTAGTTTTGGAGATGAGTGTTTTCCTGGACTGGAACTGAAAAAAGACTGGAATCAAACCTTAAAATTTTTTTGGTTCAAGATATTAATGTGGGGCGTTACTGTGGAGAAGAACATAGTTGTTTTATTTTTTCTTGTCCAAGGCAGCAGAGTGACGGATCGTGGCGAGTGCAGGGAGACATTTCATCTGCCATCAGGTGCAGTGGTGGAGCCAGGGAGTGGCCATTGGTGGCCTTGGCCAACATAGATTAATCTTAGGCCACCCACTTAGGTCATTTGAGGAAACTAACCTTTTGAGCAATACAAAAAGTTTTTTTTCATTCAATCTTTATTTATACACGTTATTCTCATTGAGTCACGAGGACTCATTTACAACCTAGAAATTTTCTATTAGAAAGCGTAGTTTCCTCAAACGATAGCGTCGGTTTGTTTGGATTTTGTTGTGGCAACCCAATTTCTGAAAATATTTCTTGAGCTTAGATGCAGAGAAAGCACATATTTATTAAATAAAACCTGTTTTAATGTCTTTCCTGCTACACAACACAAATATAAACAACATACACCAAAGTTTTAGGGTGATATTTATTAGTATACCACCCCTCCCCCACAGGAAATCACAAAGACAAGTGTCCAATAATTTGTTCATATATCCATGAATACATATAATAGTGACAAATAATAATAATAACAATAAAAAACAATACAAAAGACAATTTAAATATGCAGAATGTCAATCGCATGTCAAAGTTTTGATTCAATGCTTTTGTACTCAACATGCATTAAATTATAAAAATAGATTTTGATTACATTTATTTACATTTTCTTTATAAATATAAGTATACAAATGTATTTTTAAAATACAAAGATAAATACTGCCACATATGTACATTGTGTACCAAACCAGCATTAACAAACAAATTATTTTTTGGATATTTAGCATTCACAAAACACAGTTATTTCAGTCAAAATGCAACTTAAAGTTCAGCTGCACGTTAGGGTAGAGCGAGTAGACGACCAGTTGAACCATCACTTATCAGAGTCTATCAGACTCCAACAACTGGAGGTATTTATTTGTCTATTTATGGACAATATTTCCCACTTTCTTGCTAATCTAACTTTCTGTTTCAATAATGTTCCCCAGTAAATACATGTACAAATCAACTGAATATGCCAGTGCCACACCCTGATTGTGTGCAGCACTAATATATTTCCAGCTGCAAACTTTATTTCAGCTGTTGGTCAAACTGCTAAATCAGCATTTGGACGTGCTGAGAGGCAACGATCTACAAAATGTATTTGTTAAAATAAGCAACAATTAATTTTTGTCTTATAATGAAAATGACAAGATATAGGTAAGAAAAAACTCGAAGAGAAATAGTTGTTTTTTTAGCAAAATCACCATCCATCATAATGGTAGCTGTGCACTAAGCAATGAATAACAATAGCACCTAAGCTGCTTAAAACTACTTCTTAATGGTTTTATTTTCACAAACATATTTTTAGATCAGTCAAAATAAAAATTTAGGAGCAAAAAAAAAAATCACAAAAAACAGCTTTGCCCTGAGCCTAATATTTGCCATTGACAGCCTAATTTATAAAACAGACAACCAATTATAATAAAACTGCAAACTTTTTTCCAGCAGCCAGAAAAAATGAAGCTGAGCTGCAAAGTTTTTACCTCATGGATCAACAGGTTGATCTATTCACCTCTGTGAAGGCTCATGGAGGCTGTTTTACCATCAGCGGCCACAGACCACGCAAGAACCGCTAAACTTGCTTTAGTTCTTTACCAGTCTCTGTGAAATGTTGTGGCAGTGCACGTTGGAGCTCGTGCCCATTTTCTGGGATTGCACCAGACCAAAGGTATTGCTTATGAGGCTTGGTGCAGTGGTTTAAGTAAGTTACATTAAATACTTCATTCTTGTCCCCCTCTTGCAACAGGGTGGGTGAAGCCACAGCCAGTTTAGCTGGTATCTAACTGGTGTCTAACTGGGCTGCTACTAGTTCATACGTACATTCATGAAGAAGTCTCCAAAATGTCTCACATTTGTGACGTTTCTCAATTTTCTCATGCCTCTCAAAGGTGTGAGTACTGAAAAATTTGACCAACAAATTTATTTTAAAATACTCAAACAAGCATTTAAGACAAATGTTATTGTAGGTGCCTCTAACTCTTCTCAAGAGCAACAGAGTGGTACTTTGACATCTATACATGGGATACATTCATACATGGGAGCTGGTGCAGGAAGAACAACCTTCACATCAATGTGAAGAAGATGAAGGAGATGCTCATGGACTTCAGACAGAACACACCTACCCACCCCCGAACACAGGAGGATCTGCAGTGGAAGTGGTCTCCAGCTACAAGTACTTGGGTGTGCACCTGAATGACAACCTCAGCTGGAGCAACAACACCACCAGCCTGATCAAGAAAGCTCACCAGACTCTTAATTCCTCAGGCGGCTGAGACGAGCTGGTCTGGGAAGCTCAGTCCTCACCTCCTTCTACAGGTGTGCAGTGGAGAGCATCCTGTGCTCCAGCATCAACATGTGGCATGGAGGCTGCACAGCTGCAGAAAGAAAAGCTTTGCAGAGAGTGGTGAAGGCTGCACAGAAGTCTGTTGGAGTCAGCCTCCACACCATCACAGTCATCTGCACCTCTAGATGCAGGAAGAGGACCACCTGCATCATGAAGGACCCCACTCACCCAGCACACACACTTTTTGCCCCGTTCCCCTCAGGCAGGAGGTTGAGGAGCATTAAGTGTAGAACAACTAGACTGAGGAACAGCTTCTACCCTGAGGCTGTGAGACTCATGAATTTCTAACCATGATAATCAATGTGAAAAAAATCACATCATGTTGCTGCTGATCTGTTTCATTTTGCTGCTGATCTGTTTCATGCTCCTGTGTTCATTCATAGTCATCTGCTCACAGACTCATTCCCTGCTGCTGCTGTTCAGCATATTGTTTTTGTAAGACTAGTGCTTAGTGTAGTTTTTTAAATGTTTTTCTTAGTTCATATCTTAGATATTACTGTTTTCTTTTACATTTTATACTTTTGTTAGATGTAACTGTGTAATCCTATGTGCACAATTTTGTTCCACCACATGCACCACATGTGGTGCGAATGACAAATAAAGAACCTTGAATCCTTGAATGTCTCCTGTAACAAAAAGCACCTGAGGCAAACGTCCATGTCTAAACACCACAATGAAGATAAATAATAATTGTTGAAAAACTGGTCCAAATCTAATTGTCTCCCTTCCAAAAGTGTACTCTAGCAAGTTAAAACATAAAATGGGGGAGCTGCCACAGTGGGCATATTGTGGGTGCAGGTGGGCAACAAGATAATGTGCACTGCCTCCAATAATGAAACCAAGCAAGCCAAGCATATGAAAATAACTAATGACTTGGCCCCACTTCTGGCACAAAAACTGGCCATTCAAAACACAACCACTCGGCTCGTTGGTTGTTCTGTTGCAAACACTCAGAATACAGAACAATGACACAAAAGTTTAGAAAATGTTTCTGCCATTTTCCCACAATTTTGTGTCATCAACCATTGCAGCCCAATGAGATCCTACCTTTAGGGTTCATAACTGTACTAATAATCGTATGTGGTGACACCGTTCCAATGATATTCACTTGGTCTCCACCAAGCATTCTTTGTGTGCAGTGATCCACAGAACAGTGAAAACCAAACCTTAAGACATTTCCTGTCGGCTCCAACTTAATAAAAACTGACTGATAAAGCTGGCTGTAGCTCCTAATATCAACCCAGTGCTGGTCACATGGATCTGGTATATTTCTTGTCCAAAGCTGCGAGTAACTTCTAGGTTTAAAATCAAAGTAATTTTTAAAACTATTTGTTTTTTTAGCTACTAACATCATACTTTCACAGTTGTATGGAGAATGGTAACCCTCCCTCACAACCCCATGTTGCCCCAAGTACCAATATATCACCAATCGTTGGTCGTTGCATTGACGATGATCTATTGCCCAACCCTATTGCATTTTTTATTTATTTTTTATTTTACATATTTTAAGTTACTTTTATCTTTCTTTTGACACTTACCTCTCATGTTTATTCTTTATAAAGAGGCAGTGAATGTGTAAAAAATAAATATAAAAGAGCATCTAGCTCTGCCGGACATCCTGTAAGAGTTTGTTAATTTCAGCCACCAGCTCGCTGGCATCAACCAGTTCATGTCGGCTGTCACTGCGTTTGCCTTGAAGGTGGCTGAGAACCGACTCAAAATCATCCTCCTCATAGTTCTCTGGGATCTCCTCCATGGCTGGCAGCCACTTAGAAGAGGGCCCAGGAGCTGGAACTGGCACTGGGGCCGGAGTAAGAGACGGCTGCACCATTGTCTGGTTGACCAGTCCTGTTACCAGAGGGCTACTGTTGGATTTAGGAGCATGTCCACTATTCTGGGGACTATTTCTAGGTGCTTGGGAACCCTTGTGGCTGCTGCTCTGGGAACTGAGCTTGGTGTTGGGTTTGAGGGTATGATAGCTTCCAACCTGATGTTGACCAGAAGCACAGATGCTGCTACCTGGATTCTGGAAGTGAGTGTTAGCAGCCCAGGCTGCCACACCTTGCTGGTGTACAGATGGACTAGGCTTCCCTGGTAGATGGCCTCTTCTGCGATCTAAAGATCCAGTCAGGGGTACACCAACCCCACCCAGGCTTGTCCCTTTCTGGTTCTCGTTGACCTGGATGTATGAATCCAGACCTTGTGGTAGCAACCTCTGGAACACACTGCTCATCTCTGACAGCAATGATGTGGTACCACACAGATCTTCATCTCCTTCTTCAGATGGGCCACCTTCTCCACCCTCCTCTTCTTCACCATCCTCCCCACCAAAGTCTTTACCAAAGGTAGAGAAGCTCTGGTTCCGGGCAGGGCAGGTGTCAGTGCAGGGTTGTGAGATCTTTTCCTGAGAAATGTCTGGAGCTTGGTGTGCTTCTTCCCCAGGAATGTAGAGGTTGCTTCGGTAGTCAGTGGAGGATGAGGCTTGTAAGGCCAGGGGAGGCATCCAGCATTGGTCTGAGTGACCCAGAACACGACACTCCTCTGTGCAATGTTTCATAGCTGTAAAAAGAAACAGAAACACTCATGAGCTTTAAAACATGAGTGAAAATTAAACTAGACAGTCAGTCACCATTCAAAACAGAGCAGTTTGGCATCAAACGATGAAAAAAATGTAATATTAGTTCCACGTCTGGCCACCAAAACATCACTTCTGCTTTAAAAAAACAAACCAATCCAGAGTTCAAATTAAATTGATGTATGGATTAATGTTGTTGAGCTTTAGACTTTTGGACAAAACTTAAAATAAAGCTATGCATGATGTCACAAAATAATGAAGTGTTGAGGAAAGTCTGAAAAGTTAAGTCAGGTCCTCTGGATGGGTTAAAAGAATAAAAATAAAATTGTACAAAGGTTTAGTTCTTCAGTCTGAGGAGCTATAATAAGCTCAGTCTTATAAATAGCACCTTGTCATAGTGGATCAACCAGTTTGTTGCTGACATCCAGAACAAGCTGTTCATGTGATAAAGGAGGGCCATCAGCCTGATAGCCGCTTACTATTCAAAGGGGGCTGAGTGATACTAGCTTGATTACCATATTTTCCGCCGTACAAGTCGCACCGCTCTATCAGTCGCAGCAGTCCAAATATGTCTAATAAAGAGGGAAAATCTATAAATTTGTCGCTTTGCCATATACGTCGCATCTATTATGTGTCACTACTGACACGTCATTTGTTACGTGTCACCGCTGACAACCCGGAAATGTGGGCTGAACTCGGAAATGTGGACTGGTGTTGTGCCAAAAATCGATTGGCTGCCAAATGGCGGTCGCGGGAGCGTACACGGGAGGACTTTAACAAGAATTTAACAAGATTAACACTTAAAAACAATTAGTTTGCTCGAAATTATAGTAAATGTGTGCCCCAGTCTAACTTTTGCTTAATAAATGCACTTTGACGGTCAAATCAGTTGCATTTTCAAAAGCCAATGTGCGGAAACATGAACGTGCAGAGGGACGAGTCTGTGCATTTCTTCAAATTCAACAAGATAACCACCTAAAAACATTTATTGTTTGCTCGAAATTATAGTAAAGGTGTGTCTCAGTCTAACTTTTCCTTAGTGCACTTTGACAGTCAAATCAGCTGCATTTCAAAGCCTGATTCGCAGAAGCGGGAACAGAGAGGGATGACTTGCTGCTCATTTCTTTGAAATTTAACAAGAAAACTAAAAACAATTATTTGTTTGCTTGACTTTATTGTAAAGGTGTGTCTCAGTTTAATTTTTTCCTTAATAAAAGGACTTTAACGGTCAAATCAGCTGTATTTCAGAAGTATTCACTGCCTCGGTGCTCTGGGAGCGCCCAGACAGGGCGGAAATCAGGAAGGAAGAACATTGCATGTTTCTTTAAAATTTAACAAGATAAGCACCTAAAACAATTATTTGTTTGCTCGACATTATAGTAAAGGTGTGTCTCAGTTGAACTTTAACTTAATAAATGCACTTCAATTATCAAATTAGCTTCATTTTGCCAAGGCGGTGCAGCAAAATGAAGCTGATTTGATGGTTGCTCTAGGCGAGTTGGACGAAGGTGGAAGGCTATGGCAAGCCGATTGTGTCATTAATAGCTACTCTTACCTACTACATGACACAACAGCATGCCATACAACTCGAGAGCCATCGAGTGGCTGAAAATGGTAGTGTTCAACATTTTCAGTCAGAATATGCTGGTGAAGATTCTCAATCATCCAGGACATGATGAATTAAAAAAAAGTTCAAAACAAAAACAATTGGACTTTATTTGTAACAGAAGATGTTTCTCTTCTCATCCAAGAAGCTTTTTCAATTCAAAGAACAGGGAGTGTGGGTTTCGAGTTATAAAGCTGAGGTGAGAAACAAACATACATACATATGCAGATTGACCTATCACACCTCACAGTAGGGGTTTGTTAAGGTCTTTGTTAATGTAATTCACAGCTCTAATTCAGGAATCTGTCATATCTCAGCCAAAAATTGGTTTATAAATATGGGGGGGAAAAAAATCCATAAATATGTTGCTTTGGTGTATGTCACAGGGAATGTAAATTATGTGGAAAAAATGTGATTTATAGGGCGAAAAATATGGTACTTTGCTAGTATCACTGATACTCTCACAAATGATGGCTGGATATGGGCACCGGTGATTCCCGCAAACCGAAAAATAAGAAGTGGGTAAAGATAATGGATGGATGGATGGTTTGAAACAGATTTTGCTAACAGACCGACTCTGATGACCTTTGATGGTTCTGACAGTTTTAAGAACCCATCTTGTGTGATCAGTCAGTGCTCAAAATACCTGTTGGGGATGACTCTCAGCTACTACTTTGTCCAATTTTCACTCAACATTTATATAATTCACTGAGTTACAGCCATTTTGTTTTGGTTTTCAGATCAGTTGGTTTGAATATGATCAATTCTAAACATTAATCAGTTTTTATGTACACTCATTTACTGAAATGTGTCCTGTGGTTCATGAGATGTTTTGCTAACAAACACATGAACATGCAGCACAAACATTATCCCAGCAGGACATAAAAAGTTTTTGTCCTTTTTTGTGAATTACATTAATATTTCCTTGCCTGTTTCTGTTTGTCTGCCTTTTCTTTTTTTACACAGTGGAAATCTGCCCTAATTAGTCTAAAAGGCTCTGCAGGAGCTCTGTTGCTACCTTTCAGCATATTTACCACAGAGAGACAACTCAGCCAGACCAATCAATGCTTATTATACATTCTGAATAAATGCCCCGCATTTCCCCTTTCAAGTCCCTCTTTTCAACATTAAATCTTCAAATAGAAATCTCAGAAGAATAAATTAGACAAATCAAATATGCCAACTTAAACCCTTCATTAAAGAAGTGCGCCGCTTTTCACTAGTGCTATTGAAGGACTTTATTATCCCCTCATTAACATGAAAGGAACATTTATAATACATCTTAGAGCAGATGAAATGAAAGGATCGAAATGAAAGATTTAACCCTTCTGATCTGTGAGTGAATATGAATAAAAGAAAGCATCAGACATAAAATGAGAAGTTCACAGTGTGTTAGTTTAATCAGTTATCAGCAAATTATTATAAACTAGAATGTCCAGATTGCAAAGTATTTTAATATATAGGTAGAACCAAAATACCAAAATACTGTAAATGCAAGACTGGTTGGCAGAACATAAACATGCAACCCATAGTGTAATGTTAGTTATTCCATGATCAAATATCTTTTTCCAACAGCATATTAGTGCTCCATCTTTTTTACAGACTTCTGAATTAGATTTTTTATTTTTCTTCTTTCAGCTGCTCCCTTCTTCAAGGGTCACCACAGTGAACTAAGTCGCACAAAGACTTGGCGATTGTTTTTACACTGAATGCTCTTCCTGACACAACCACAGAGCAGAGAGCAGAGAGCTGCCATCTAGGGCAGTGGTCCCCAACCACCGGGCCGCGGACTGGTACCGGGCCGTGGGTCAATTTATACCGGGCTGCACAGAAAAAAAATAATAATAATTTTTGAAAAATCACCACATCTGTCAATGACTCACTCTTGACGCAGGTCAACATAACCAAGTGGTAAGTTTCAGTTTCTGTTAGACGCATGCGCAGATTGGTTCTACATTGCCCGTTCGGGAGGAGTAATTTAGCTGCGTGGTCTGGAGCAGACAGGAGGAGGCATGCGGCCGTGTCTGCGCATTTGAAGGATTACGCTGCATATTTTTCAACCCGCCTGACAAAGAGTGACTGTAAAACTATTAACTAAATAAACTATAATTTTAAACAAAGCTTCCTAATATCACATCAGAGCTGGTTTTGTCTTGAACTTTTTTGAATTCACATCAGAGCTGTTCCTTCGCATTTCTCCTTCTGCTCTTAAAAAAAAATGTCTGCCATTAAAAGTTCAAAGTCATGGGCAATTTTATTCAAAATCATAAATATTATTAAAGTTTTGCACTATGCATAAGTTCCTGCGCTTTTGTGAACAATCTGACGTGAATCACTGTGGAGCAGCGAGGAGGATGACGAGGCTCAGCTGACCTCGGTGTGGGATACACTAATTAAATGAGAAATGATCCTGCACTTAATACACTTATAAATCACACATAAAGTGATTAAAAGTAAATTTGAAATACAGATGCTGGTCATAAAATTAGAATATCATAAAAAAGTTGATTTATTTCAGTCATTCCATTCAAAAAGTGCAGCTTTTATATTCATTCTTTACACACAGACTGATCTACTGTAATATACTTTTGTAAAATACACCAGAATTCAGGAAATGGCATCTACTTTATGGGTCATCTACCGGTCCGTGGCGCAATAAAGGTTGGGGACCATTGAGCTAGGGCATCCGGGAGAGCAGATGGGGTGGGGGTGGGGTGTTGAGAGCCTTGCTCAAGGGTCCAGGATGGGGCAAATTAAGGTGGAGACAGGTGTGGTTGTTTCACCTTTCCCACCCATATTTTGATGTTGTATGTACAGGGAGTTGAACCGGCGACCTTCCGATCACAGGCCCACCTTCTCTAACCTCTGCGTCACTGCCCCCCCCCCCCCCCACACACACACACACACACACACAAAGGCTTCTGAATTTGATCATTTGCCTATGTTTATTCAAACAAGCGGTACGCCAATGTCCCCTGACGCAGAGGGGTTTGAATAGTGAATGTTTGTAGTTTTTGTGGCAAGTGTTTTTCTGGACTGGAACTGAACAAGGAATGCAAGTAAGCCTTGATGTTTTGATGCAGTTCAAGTGGGCAGGAGCTACACTGTGTAAAAAGAGAGGTAATTGTCTTTTTTTGGCTGGTCTGAGGCAACACAGAGTGATAAATCCTTGTGAGTAGAGGGAGCAATTTTATCCACCACCAGGCGCTTTGGTGGAGCCATGGGGTGGCCAGAGATAATTTATGGTGGCCAAGGCCACCATAAATTATCTCTGGCCACCCCAATCATTTAAGGAAATTATACTTTTGAGCAATATAAAAACTAGAAAACATAGTTTCCTGAAATGAATGGGGTAGCACGTTTACAAAAGAGAACAGC